GCATGTGTCCTTGTGGTTCTGGAAACAAATTTAGTTTGAAGAGGTGCATAGCCTGGTTGACGCGGGGTAGGGAGGGGAGCAAAGCAGGGTTAATATATTTGATACCCTAAACAATATAGCTGACCTCCCTCCACCTTTCTAGGATTCTAGAATGCTCATTTTACAATTATGAGTCACAAAACTGAACTAAAAAAAAGAAATGAAACAGTGCTTATGTGCTGTTATGATCTATCCTTTAAATAAATATTTCTTGAGCACCTATTTTATGCCTGGTTCTCTGTTGGTGTTAGGAATATAATTGTAAACATTATTGACATTGTAACTCCCCTCAAGAAGCTTCTAGTCAAGTAAGGGTTTTCAACTTTTCCTCTTAACTATTATAAGCAGTCTTTCGAAGCAAAGCTAATAGCAGTATAAATATTAATTATAAAATCTCCTGAAAAAAATACAAAGTGTATGAAAAATAAGAAAGCAAAATTTGTCACTCAAATATTTAGATATTGTAGTACTTATACATAAAATAGGCACAGCTAAAATAGAAGGGTAAAATATATTTCTAAAAAATACCTTTTTTTCTAAAATCATATCCTTGCTAGAGCCTCAATAGAGAGAAATAATTAAGCAAAATTACAATTTTTTTCTTACTATACTCCAGCCACAAAGGCTATGTTTTATTAACCCAAAAGCATTTTTAATGGTTAAGCTTGTCTGGCTCTAATGAAACTCCAAGTTTCAAGGGAAAAAAAAGTCCACTAAAACCACACATGGTCACTATAAATGTCTTAAACAAAAGTAAAGCCAACTGGTAAACAACTAAATTGTTGTATGTGTCTATGACATCACTTCCTGGTAAAGCCTTTGCTAGCAGTGGCACATGTATATAAATTCCAACAGATAATCCTAGGGCCAATATGTTAAAGCCAAGCAATGTCCTGTAACTATTAGGAGTTGATATACATAGTATATGGTTTTTAGGATGTAGGATGCTTTGTGAGAACTTCAGTATTGACTAACTGAGTTGTTTTGGGTTTTTGTTGCTGTTGTTGTTGTTTTGTTTGTTTTTGAGACAGAATCTTGCTCTATCTCCCAGGCTGGAGTGCAGTGGCACAATCTTGGCTCACCGCAACTTCCACCTCCCGGGTTCAGGCCATTCTCCTGCCTCAGCCTTTCAAGTAGCTGGGATTACAGGCATGTGCCACCACACAAGACTAATTTTTGTATTTTTAGTAGAGATGGGGTTTTGCCATGTGGCCAGGCTGGTCTTGAACTCCTGACTTCAAGTGATCCACCTGTCTCGACCTCCCAAAGTTCTGGGATTACAGGTGTAAGCCACCATGCCCAGACCAAAATTGTTTTCTTAGGTCATGGCTCAATTTCACCTTATCTGTACCCCTCACCCCAACAAGAATCTCAAACCTAGAGTCTGATGACCTGATTCTATTGTGAGTCACACCGTTTACTGCTGTAAGAAGGAAGCAAATAGAACAGAATGTACCAGGGGCTAGAAAAGGGGATGATAGATCAACAGGAAGTGCTGCTTCTCTCTGGTATTAAATTAGGGGCAGAAACAAGTGCCATCATGATGTCCTCAGAATCCCCTGCCACCTTAGACCTCATCAGGAGCTGAAGCAGCAATAGAAAAATTTGGGTAATGGGATATGAAACTGGCTGACTCTCCTCCAGCTTCTCAATTAATGGCACAATGTATGAGCACATAGGGATTCCTGGAAATGGTGTCTCATGAGATACCCCATGTTGTTTCATTTACATCTTCATGACAGAGCTTTTCTCTGTTCCTGCCCATTGCAAAGACCCAGCTCAATGCGGGATTACATGGCTCAGCACTTTATGTATTCCTTACATATTAACTTATTTTAAAAACCTATCTGACAAAAGAATTAGTACCCTTAACCCTAACTTATATATGTCTTCTCCTCTGCATGAGGAGTACCACAGAACTAGGAAAACTCAGAACTTCCTAGGAAATTGGACCCAGTAGAGCTTGAAGCTCTGTAATGTGAGGGCCAAAGATAATTCTAATATTGATTGACACCATCCTTATCTTTGGATCATGTCAGTATTGATATGCCTTTTAAAACCATGAGAAAAGTTTTGAATTATTTCCATAAAGAAAAATCCCCCATTTCAGATATACATAAAAGACACACTTTGATAGTTAATGTAAACAGTTGCTTTTCCATGACAGTCACCCTCATCATTGATATTCATTTTATAATGATAATTCTACAGATAGATGAAGGTCAAGGCTATCTTAGACTGCTCTCATGAGGAAAAATATTATTTTTTAAAATGTTATCAATACACACATATGTAAACATATAAATATTTACACAGAAACTTACTGCCCACTCAGTGAATAGAAATGGGAATCGAAATTATGTGCTCTGGGAATCTTCCCTGTGTGACTGTACTTTAAAATCAGGAGTGCTTGATATTTCCTTTGCTATTTCTGTCCCTGTGTCTAATGGGGAAAGGTCAATGTTCACATAACATAGCATAAAGAGACTTTGAATCCTCCTCCAGCTTACAGAAAGGCCCCAGGGGGCTAGATGACTTAAGATCACATTGTGGGGTTCAACCTAGAACACGCTTTTCTTGACTCTCAATCCAGTCTTAGTTCTGTGATGTAGCAGTAATCTTTTGTATAGAAAAAGGTAATCAGGTTAGCTAGTAGAAACATAAGGCATTAAAATAGTAAAGTCAGAAGAAACTGTGAAGGTCATCCAGATCTTGGAAAGAGACAAAGATCACAGGCTGAACTGCAGAATTATTTGTACTCCCCTTAGCCAGATGAGAAGGGAAGACAAGTGCACAGTAGAAATCCAACCAGGAAGGGTTAAAGGTCTTTGGTCAAAACTGCACCATGCAATTTCTTCCTAAGGCTGCTGTAGCAATTGGACCCCTCCTTACAGTTAAAAAGGAAAAAAATACTAATTTAAAAAATAATAATAATGACCAGTAAATAGGGGCAGAGCTGTATATGGTATAGAGGGCATCATCTTGAGGAAATGGCTGGGGAGAAATTAGAAAGAATTGGGTTATAAACAAACAATGCTGTCATAGTGGAAAAGAAAATGATTTCTGTAATAAATGGCTGACATGAGCTTGAAAACTCCAGAGTGAGCTCCTGGGTCCTGCTGGTTCATTGTTTCTCTTCTGTTGTCAGGCTCAATGTGAGAGAAAAGTCAGGAAGCAATGTATCATATCATCTTAGTCTACTGCAGCATTGGTGATTGAAAGAAACTCCAGGCACTCTGGACCCTGAGCCTGGGAGAAGGTGGGCTGCTCACACTCATGGGGCTCAGGAAGTTCAGGCATTCTGAAGTTTGGACCAATGACTTGCTCTTGCCATCGCCTCAAGGGACTGAGCCCAGCTAAGGGGATGAGGGGGCCCACAGTGTGCACCACAAGGAAGCACTTATGTCTACCTTCTACTTGAGCATTTTCAGTCACAGCACAGGGCCACACATTTAAGATTTAGAGAAAATATGCAACACAGGGAGGAACTATTAATCCTATTTGAGAAAGCTGCAAACTGAGCCTCAGAGAACAGTTTATTATTTGTGGAAGGTCAAACAATAGGTGGTCAGGTCAAAGAATTCCAGTTCTTGAACTCTTAATCTAGTTAGCTTTTCCATCCTCTTAAGCAGATTCACCATAAAATTTTTAAAACATCCCCTCAAATTTCAAGGAAAATATGTGTTTCAAAGTTTATGTATTTCCTTCTAAAAGCTTTTTCCAATGGAAAACAGAAATTTTTGTCATGAGGCATAGTCGCAATGTCTGACTTAATCTAATTTCTATTTTTAGAGATTACAAATAAATAGTTTTTCAATTTTACATTTTAAAGTTATTAGAATAGGATACATGTAGGAATCTGTTCTGTTAGCATTCTAAAAATCAACAGAGGTAGACAGAGTCTCAAAAGCAGGCCGTACAAACCCTTTCATGGTTACCTGATACTCTTCCTGGATGTTCTCAGTAGGAACAGTTAAGCTACAACTGCTTCCTGTTCCCGGAAAGCACCTGTTCTAGGTACGAAGCAATCAACAGAAATGGCAGGAACTCTTTTGTAACAATCTACCTACAATATCTTGGATGTATCTGTGGGGGCATGTCCATGACTAGTCTTGCTTGGGTCAGGCATTATCTGCCCTCTGGCATATCTCCTCATTTTCAAGTGAACAGACTGACAAAGATAATTAGAATTAACTGCATTTATGAATGGTGTTAATGAAGTGCTCCATTTTTATGGGAGTTTTACGTACTCTTTGCATTTCATGAGTCTATCATAAATTTACAGAAGCCAGAGCCTTTTAGCAACATGCTATGTTTAAGTTTTTAACCCAACGATTAAAAACAGAAGACACTTTCTTGACAGATGAGTTCAGCAGGAGACATGTTTGTCTGTTTGTGCCAGGCTTATAATAACAAAGACTAATAATATGCAAAAAAGATCAAAAAAGATAATACCCAGAACTCAGTTACCATCATATTAGTAGTTTCAATGAGGAAAATAAATGTAGAAAAATATTTATTAAATTATTTTAAAATATTTCATACAGTCTTCTGAGACAGGCCAGACCACATTCCTTACCTGAAAATTGTACATGCCTAAAAAAATAAAGGCCAAAATTATTTATAACTTCACAGGGAGAACTTCTATTAATGTTACGACTGTATATGTTTATATGCTCAAACATACATGTGTGTATAGATAGATAGATAGATAGATAGATAGATAGATAGACAGACAGACATATTCTGGTGGGCCATTACTTATATTCTAATTGCATTGATTTTTTTCTGAGGTCCACAGATATTGCATATAATCTCTGGAATTATCTTTACTCATAAATTTGTTTCACTTGAAGAGAAGTAATTATTTTACTCTACACCATCAAAAGCAGTGTCTGTCCAACATTGAAAACATGTCTTCCATCTGATGTTTGAAATGGGTGAAGTTAAAATTTTCTTACCATCCAAGCTGTGACAAAGTCCCCCATCCAGGTCCCTACTGCAGCTAATTTCATGAAACTTTCATTTCGGATGCCCATATAGTCTGTAATGATATATGCTCTGTGGAAACAAACACACAAGACATTGTCCGGACTCAGAGAGTCATACAGTTCAAGTTTTCTGGTTCAGCAACAGGCAAAGGGACTTTTCCCACTCTCAACAAGTTGTCTTGCTCTTGTCCCATCACATATGCTTACAAATCTGCAAGTCTGAGAAGAGCTCTCAGGATGTCTGGGTCACTTTAAATTACACTTGAAGACTGAATGTGGCTCTACCAATTACCATCTACATTTCATATTCGAGCTGTATGACTAATGACAGCTTTTGAAAAATCCAACAGAAATACTCAGCAAAGGTATTATTGCATGATCACTCAAGTATGAGCAGAGAAGAAATACTTCCTAGATTGGAATAACTTGAAAGAGGAGAGAAGAGCTAACTTTCCTTCAGTTCCATCAAATCAGAACAACTGGAAAAATGCTGGATTAGGCTTTAGATATAACATCAAACCTGAATAATGTTCAGAATAATATCAAGATTTAAGAAGAATTTCCACCCATAATAAAGCAGTATGAAATCTGATCCAAATATGTGTGATTTAAATCCTGAAATAAAAACATTTAATTGTACCATTAACTTTTTGTATAACTAATTCCTATCTCCACTGATCATTAAATACTAGTATTAAGACTATGCCTATTGTTCATTAGGCATTTTCATTTCTACTTTTTCACTTAATATTCAAGAAAACCCTAATTATTATTTTTCTATATTGCAATATCTCTGAGAAAGCTGGGACTCAGAGAGATCACATAACTTGCCCTATTCATATCATATGACTAATGAATGGTAGCTAGGTGTCAAATTTCTCTCTCTTAGTTTTTATTTTACTCAAGTTTTTGTTCAGTTGGATATTTTTATCTTAAGTTTTGCTCCTTTTCTTACATATAATAATACTTGTACAATTTAGAGTATTGGTAAAATTTAATTCTTAAATAAATTTAAAAGCACATAATGATTGTTTGTTATCTATCTACTGAAATTATGAAGAAACATGTTTTTGAAATTAATGAGAGGTAAACTGTCTCCAATTCAGTTTTTTCTTTCCTGGAGTTATTTCAGATAGTTCTCTTATCTATAAAATAAATAGATATTTAACTAGTTTTATTTAACAACAAAAGCAAACTTTAAAATTCTTAACATAAGTCTTTTTTAACAAACTTCATTCACCTATCTTGGAGGGTCTGTGTAAATATTTTAAGGACTAACCCCAAAATTCTGGATCTCCAATTCCATGGATTTTCATAGTAGCCCAAAATTTATAGCTACCACAAACTGTATGCTTATAAGGTGCCAAAGATAGTTATTACCACTTTAAATACAGTGTATAAATCAACTCTCACACTGGTACAATGAAATGTAGTATTATTCCCAATTCACAATATGAAATTGAGATTTAGAGAGTTTTTGCAACTCACTCAAGGTATAGCATTTGGTAAATGGATAGGATTTAAATCTAAACTTGATTGACTCACAAACCCAGAAATTTAACCAGTAATCTACACCTTCTTCTTATAAGTGTTAGTGGAGATATAAAACACAATGAATATCTACTCTCTCCACAAGTAGCTTAGCAGACAATGAAAATTAAGGTTTATTTTCATCTAAGATAAATCATAATAAGTCAAGAACAGCATGTAGAACTTTTAGCTTTCCAGAGCATCCATCAATTCTTGAGTTTCAATTTATGTTGAGTTCACCAATTGAAGAGCTTCTACTTGAAAACTCCCAAGTTACTCCCTTGGACAACTTGATGTAACACCATTCAGTACCACTATCACTGAACAGCTCTTGGGCAGTGAACTCAACATTACTATAGAGGATTAGCTCTGGTAATTGTCCAGTCCTTTCAATGACACCTAATTTGAAGAACTTGTCCAATGACCCACTTGTCCACTTTTCCAATTAGTTCTAGAATATCTTGGATAGAGAGGAAATTTTAGGGTGTATGTCCTGTAATTGCAAAGATGGTGTAAAAGAAGGTATCATTCTTTTATTTTAGTATCTAAAAATAGAGACAGGCAGCTGGATACACTTGGAACAGGTCAACCATCCAGCTAAGAACTGAAAAACAAAAAAATACCACCATACTCTGGGGCTTTTCATAGGGAAAAGAGTGGGGAGAGAGAGAGGATCAGGAAAAATAACTAATGGGTACTAGGCTTAATACCTGAGTGATGAAACAAGCTGTACAACAAACCCCCATGACATGAGTTTATCTATATAGGAAAACTGCACATGTACTCCTGAACTTAAAATAAAAGTTTTTGAAAAGTACAAAAAATGTCACAAATTTGGTATCATAAAAGTTATTGACAAAACGAGTTTTAATGAAGTGGTGTTACTGTAGATGTATACATAATTTGAATATATGTTCATCAAAAGTGTTAGCGTTGTTCAAATAATCAAAAAATTAAACTTTATTTTGATATGTTTTCATAATAAAAATACAAAAATCACTCAAAAAATCTTCTTAATGGCATCAGAGTTGATGAAGCAATGAAAACTAGAAAAATCAAGGTACCAGATTAGAGAAAATCGTGGAAAATTTGAACCATGGAGAAGTTAGCTGTATTTTCTCTGGGCATGTTTGCTGACTCTGCATGCAAGGAAAGAGGATGAGAACCTGGGTTTTGCTCTCTGCAATGGCCAGTCTCAGTGAGCTGAAGAGAGAGCATTGGAAACTTAAGGAGCCCAGATCCTAGTGAGGAGGAAAAAGCCCAGAAGAGAGGATGAAACACAGTTAGTTGCCCTTCAAGACATTTGCCAAATTTTGAACTTGTACAGGAGGGTATTAAAAGACTAAGTAAAATTTCTAAAAAGCATTAAGGAGGTTTGGCAACTTTTCCTCATGCTGAGGGCTATATTAGAGTTCAGAACCAGCCAGATAATGTGTTCCAAGAGAATACAGCCCTCTGGAGGGCTACCGAAAACTAGAGATGGAGGAATCCTTGTTGAAAGTGTAAACCAGCCCTTACCCAGTCCGTTCTATGACCGGATTGTGGTGATCAGCTTCTACACTTTCCACCTAACAGATGAAAAAGTAAACCTTTTGGGGAAAATTTTTTGTTTTATCCTCTACACACTTTTATACATAATATATTTCCATCATTCAAAAATTACTAGGATGTCAAGAAACAATCTCATATCACTGAAAACCAAGAGAAAAAACTAGATATAAGGTCCAGGACAGGAAACTATTCTGGCTATCTTGTCTACTGTTGATTGTCCAGAGGAGAATTAATAAATATTTGTTTAAATTATAATTTAATAAAATGACCCAAATCCTTCATATTTATTTATATATGACATGAGTAGATCTCCATACATTACATCCTATAAACAGCCATAAAATGAGATTGAATCATGAAAAACTTTCCCATGGAGGAAGATACTAAAAACTCTTAAACACTGTTCTGTGTGTTCACTTTGTCTCTCCAATGACATTTATAGTTTCTTGACTGCAAGATAGCTGTCCTGTATTCACCCAGAATAATATATCAGCACAAAATGAAGTATCCTTGTCTGTGGCTGTGGACATATATGTACTAGATGCTATAACAATGCAGATAAGGTAGTACTTACAATTTATGAAATAACTAATATACTTTAAAATGAAGAGTAATATATAAAGAATAGTCGGTATTTAGTAGTTATTTTTATTTTTGCTGCTCCGGATAAATATGAAGAAGAGTTACCAATATGCAGACCTGTCATAAAAATTTCCAGCTACTATTTCACTCATGTGCATATCCATTAACATTTAACAAGACTTCCTGGTTGGGTTGTGAAGAACAAGACAAGTATATATTTATATCAGCAATTTTAGCCAGTTTGAATACCACATCAGACTCTAGAAAAGTGAAATTTTGGGGTTTCATACACCTAATGATTTGGACAAGTAATTCAGAAGTAAATTTTATTTGCTAAGAGGCACAATTACAGTTATTTTGTTTGGTGCATTTGCTGATTATTTTAACTACTCACTCATCCTTGTTTTCTCTTATGCTTTATCTTTTTTCTTTTTTCCACTACCTAGAAAATCTTGCAGTTCTACCAGCCTTCTAAGTAACTATTAATCACTAATATAGGTTTTTAAAATCCTAAATAAATTCTTTCTCAGCCTCTAACTTCAATTATTTTTTCCTTGAGATTTAAACTTTAACTGTCAAATCTATAACCAACATGTGGAGACTGCAATATACAAGATCTGGAAAAGATTAATTATCATAACATCTTGACAACATGAGATACCATGGCTATTAAAACCTGTTGCAAAATGACTAAAGAAACTCAAACATGAACTAAATAGTCAATAAAACTATAATATAATGAATTGGTCTTACAGTAAGGGTCTTGATCACTAGCAACAAAAGTTCCAGTTCACTTCAGTCTATTACTCATACATAAGTGGTTGCAGTCAGTGCCAGGTGATTTAGGGGTTGAGTCTCTGAAATTTTAACAAGAGGCAGCACACACAGATCATCAAATCAATATGGATCCGTGCTTCTTTGAAAAACCATCTGCAGCCAGCTGGATTCATAATGTCACAGCTGTCTCTCCCAGCCATGTTTGGGCAACATAAATAAGATTGGGGGCTTCACACACAAATAATCATGGGCAAGGAGTTGACTTACATGAGTACAGGCCTACACTAAACACACTAAAACTAAAGCAAAAGCTCTAAGTATTCTTAAGGCATTAAAATAAAAATCTGTCACTACAATATGCCAGGAACTAAACCTAGATTTTTAAAATTAACCTTTTCTCAATCATTTTGTGTTTGCAATGAAATGATTAACTAGGTTAATGACTCTAGTCCCTTAGTCAACTATTATCCAAATAACCACATTTTAGTATTTTTGATCAAAATCTCTAGTTCTTGAATTAAAATACTTTGATGGAGCTCAGTACATGTGTAAGGACCTTCCATACCAGACCTATGGTTTGAAGCGATGGGGCAAGATCCCCTGGAATGTCAAAAAAAGCTGGAGGCAATT